GGCCCAGGTACCCGGCAGACTCCTCGCACAGCCCGTTCCCTGCTGCGGCCTTCTGGGCAGGCAGAGACCTGGGTCGCGGCAGCCCCGGCCTCGGGCAGCGGCAGAGCTCAGCCTCCAGCACAGATGCGGCCTCGTCACTCAGCAGCACCGGGAGCGAGAGCTCGGAGGATGCGCCTCCCACCAGCCCTCGCTCGGACTCCGAGGTGACGAATTTGCCCAGGGCCTGGCACCCGGACTAGGAAGGGATGCAAGTCTGCTCACCCGCAGCTTCTGCGGCCAGTGGAGACCTGCAGTGGGGTTGGGGCTCCCCCGGTGCCCCACACCCTGCCCATGGGCTCAGGCCCTGCAATGCGATGTCCATCACCCAGCAGGTGCCCACCCCCCAGCCAGGTGAGGCAGAAGGATCCCACCACCATGCAAGGCACTTTGGCAAGAGAAAGCTTCCTGCCTTCATACCAAAGGTAACCACTGACACCCTGGCTGGGCACAAATAACTAGGGCAGGGAGAAAAAGCACAGAGTGGGCAGAGCACATGCCACCCTCCCACAAGCACCACGTCCCCCAGAGCCCTCCTGTTTATTCCCATCAGACACAGGAAACCACAGAGGAACCTGCAGCTCCTTGTCCCATTTACCGGCTGGTGCTGGCTGGAGATGGTGGTGCTGGGAAGTCCAGCTTCCTGCTACGCCTCTGCGCAAACAAATTCAGAGGAGACATCCCCACCACGCTAGGTACTGGGGACCAAGGCGAAGGGGCAGGGAAGCAGGAGAACAGCACATGACTGTCTTTCCTCAGGGGTGGACTTCCAAGTGAAGCAGCTGCTGGTGGATGGGGAGCAAACCACATTACAGATCTGGGACACAGCTGGGCAGGAGAGGTGAGAGGGGCCAAGGCTCCTGCTGCTGAGCTGAGCCAGCAAGGGCCACTTCCGCAGCTTCAGGCAGGCTGCTTCCCGCTCCACCAGGGCTGCCAAGGTCACTGCACAGGCACAGCAGCTGCTGGAGGGAAGGCAGCCGAGTCCTCCGCTGCAGAGGAACCCCTGGCGCAAGCTTGGGATCGCGGCGCGAGGCGCAGCCCCCACAGGCATGCCAGAGGGCCTGGCCCCGCAGCACTAACACGCTTCCCGGCACCAGATTCCGGAGCATTGCCAAGTCCTACTTCCGCAAAGCCCACGGCGTGCTGCTCCTGTACGACATCAGCTCCGAGAGCAGCTTCCTCAGCGCCCGCCAGTGGATCGAGGACATCAAGGTAGTGGAAAGGGTCTGACAAGCCCCGAACCCTCATGGAGCGGGGCAGGAGCCTCGAGGCTTCCCCAGAGAGGGCTGGGCTGTGCCCCAGATGGTCTTAGGGAAGCAGAGCTAAGTAATGGCAAACTGGACCAACTCTTAAGCAAGCTCCAGGGTCAGCCTTTGGGAAGTGCCTTTCTTTGGGAGGGGCTGGTGTTTGCTGTACGGTTTAAAACTGCGCCCTTCCCCCTGGGTGCGGGGGAGGACTTGGTGCCGCACAAGCACAACAGGAGGCAGCCAGAGCTCAGAGACAGCAGAGCTCTGCAGCTCCTGAAGGAGAGCACACCCCAGGCTAGGACTGCACCAGCCTCTGCCATGGCTGGAGACTGCTGGGCCCCACGGTGGCCTGAGCTGCCCTTTCCTCCCCCAGGCCACCGAGAGACCGCTTCCACTCATGCTGGTCGGGAACAAGATTGACTTGCGCCCAGGACTGCCAGAAGCAGTAGGGGTTCACACCACGCACGGAGAGAAGCTGGCCATGGTAAGCACACGTGCCTCTGCGCCCACAGGGCGGGCAGGGACACTGCTAACACAGGCTGCTCTCCTCCTCAGGCCTATTCAGCCCTGTTCTGCGAGACCAGTGCTAAGGATGGTACTAACGTGGTGGAGGCTGTGCTGCACCTAGCCCGGTGAGGAGCTGCCTGCCCTGTCCGGTTGGGATGCAGCTCACCCAGCTGCAGGAGGGTTTGCAGTGGTCACCCGGCTCCCATCCTGCCAGAGGGCAGGCAGGACCTGCTAACACTGCTGCTCTTGACCCCACAGGGAAGTGAAGAGGGCAGCAGACCTCAGCAGAGGTGACAGCACTGGACTGGACTTGAGCATTCCTCCAAGGGCAGCTCTGAGCTGCTGCAGGACCTAGTGCAGGAGAAGAGCAAGCTGCTGGGCTTCACCACACACACAACTACCTGCTCCTACATCTGCTGTTATTCTACAGCACTGTCCACGCAGTTGCTGGGGAACAGGCAGCTTGCCCTGCTCCAACTTCTGGACTGGAGATGTTTTCTCTTCTTTTGTAAGTAAACTTTCACAACTTGCTGGCTGAAGTTGCTGTCTATGTGGAGAGGCAGCCAGGGAAGTGGTACTCTGGCCTTACTCAAAGGGGTTCCTTCTCTCTAGGCTGGGCCCTGCCCCATGCCCAGGGCCCTACTGCCCTGTCTTGCCCTCCCTCACATCTCCAGGGCAGGAAACAAGCAGGATTTTGGGGGGGGAATCATGCTGTCTGCTGCTGCTCCTGGCATCCACTTAGCAGCACGGCCCACCACCATCCCACCTCTCTTTCGTTCCAAATCCCCCGGTGCCCCAGCCAAGGCCTTCCCTTTCAAAGCACAGGCTGATGCCTATGCCCAGCGTCAAGTCAAAGGCAGCCGTCTGCAGTCCTCGGTAGCCCGAGAGCCTCTGGCGCTCGCTGCCCTGCCCGCTCCCCATCAGCGCGGCCTCGTCCCGAGCCCTCTCCATCCCCATCTGCTGCAGAAGCGGTCAGAGCCCGTGCCCATGCCCCCGCCCTCCGACCCCCCGTTGCCTTAGTCTGACCTGCGCCACTCCTGCCATCCCGAACAGCCCTCTCCTGGCTCTATTTTCCTGGGTTTCCACCCCGCTTCCCGGGACATCCCCCCTTGCTTCCGCCCGCCAGCACGGCCGAGGCGGCCATCGGGGCCCGCTGCCCAGCGGCGGCCGCCCCCCGCGCG